GTTGTTGAGGTTGAGCTTGTTTTAAGAAAACCGATGACAGTTTTGTAAATTATTGGAATTCGAAGCCTCTTTGTTATGTTGTAAATGAGTTTTGGGTGTTTCTAAAGCCCATTTCATGTAGGTTTTCTTGTTTATTTTAAATTTTATAATTTGGGTACCTATATTGGGCATAATAGTGAAACTCCCTTATTTTTTCAACATAAAATTGCATGTACACATATAATAGATCATTAATCACATATACTTTAACTATATTAAATAAACCGACTAGGTATGTTAAATTTGAATTTATTGTTAAATTTAAAACATTTACCAAATTAATTCCTACACCAGATTAAAAGTGTGTTATTAGTTACAATCCAATTAAAAATTATTTCTATATTTGTTCCTACATTAATATACAACATCCAATAATGGCTTAGTTGGGGTTATTTTAGGAATCGAAAAAGTACAATAAATTCGATTTTGCGGATTAGGTAACTTGCCAAGTTGGATCCTAGTCATTAAATTTTTTATTTGGAAAAAACAGGATTTTATTCAAAAAAAATGAAAAGAAAAGGAGATGGGTTGTAGTTGAGGAAAAATAACTTTGAAGGGGTTAAGCTAAATTTACTATTATTTTGTTAATCTAAATCCTACAAGCTTGATTTATTTATTGTTTTTTAAGTTTTGAATTTGAATTCAAATTGTATCCAGCCGATTCATGCTTCACTATTCTGGAAGAATGTTATCAGACATACCTAATGAAAGTGGAGGAAAGAACCTATACCTAATGAATGGAGGAAATAATATTGGCTTTATGTATAATAATCAGTAATAAAAAAGATTTCAGTTTCTTTTTCCTTTCGTTATAGGAGAAAATTCTAGACCACAACATGAAATCCATACGTTTAGATCCTTAAATATATATTATCTATGGTTGATCCTTTTTTATAGTTGATGAAATTGATGTCTTATTCTCTAAGTAAATAATACTAATAACTACTGGCCATTGTCTTTCTGCTGAATTCTCATTTAGGGCATCGAAAAAATAAAAAGTAGTTGAACGATAGATCTCGTTTTAATTAAACAGCTAGTCCACGTCAACTTGTATAGAAGTCAAGCCAGCCTTTGGATCCATGTCAATTTGCCAATAGATATTAAATAATTATCATAATTAACTAACTAATAACTAGCTAGGATTAATTAATTAATTAATTAATTGATGAAGGCATGCATCTGTGGTGGTACCACCACGTCGCATGAGCATCTCTTTTCACCGTAATTTGTTCTATATAAGGCCACCACGCTAGAAGATTCAATCAATCAATCAATCTACTTGCTTGCTTCCTTAATAATTATAGCAGCTATATGGCAGAAAGGGACCAAGAAGGGAAGTCAGCTGATCTCTTGAATATCATCAACGGAGATCATGAAAATAGGGCAAAACCGGTCACAAGTTCGCTCCCGATGAACGGTGGAAATGGCATTTACAGCTACTCCAAGAACTCCTACTACCAGGTATATATATGAGTTTCAGTATATGTGATTGTAGAGAATCGAGTTTCACACGAGTGAATTAAGGCCTCGTCTCTCCTTTTTATGACTTTGTTCCAAATTAGACCCAAAATGCTCCGAATTATATTCATTTGCATATAATAATATAAGCAGCTAGGGATATAAGAATTGACTAATTTTAGTGGAACCGTACGCAGACAATTCAGTTTAATATTCTATACGCAGCGGAATATATGCTCCCTCCCTCCCTACAAGCCTAGCTACTTGCCCTACCTCCTGAGCCCTGAGCCCTGACTATCCTGCCTTTTATTTTTATTTTTCATCTCAAGCTTCTCTTCCATCTCTTCTTTCCTTCCATCTATTTTTATGGAATATGGGAGTTTTGCTGCTTATTTACCTATTCCAATATTTGTTTAGATATATTAAGAATCAGACATATTGGTTTCTTTGGATTCACCTTCCTCCACTATATATATCCACACTGATTTATCAGAGTGCTGGATGCAGGGACGGACCCAGGAATTTTATGTCGTAGGGTCATAGTGTAAAAAGCGGCAATGGAGGAGTTGGGGCTTAAAGGCTTGGTGGGGAGAGGGTTAAAGGTTTGGGGGGGGGTGGAGATTGGGGATTTAGGTTTGAGGGTTTAGAAAATGGGGGTTTTGGAGTTGAAAACTCGGGAGAGATGGAGGGTCTATGTATATACAATCTGTTCTCTTTTTTTTTTAAAAGACCTGGACCAAAACGACGTCGTTTTGGCCAGGTCTTTTAAAAAAAATTCGGTGCTGTGCTGCTGGTTCAAAACGACGTCGTTTTGGCCAACGCAGTTTTTTTTTTAAAAATTCGCCA